CACAAAGGGAAAGTGTCTCGTGAAAACTGGCGTGGAAGAAAATGTTGATATTGATGAATAGACAGCCTAGGCAAAATGCTGTAATATTTGAATGGCTAGCAAGCCAGATTCTCAGAAACCTGGATGGGTAGCAAGTGCATTCTCCTGTGCGTGTGCCTGGCAGCTGTCCTACCTGTGTGAGTGAGATTGTGAAGTTTGTCAGTGGATACAGGACTGATGGTTGTGTTGACAGGGAAGAGGGAGGAAGCACTTCTGGCTAGAATAATTCACAGGGGACACCATTCTATTTATTTTAGCACATCTGGCAATGAAGATGTGTCTGGAAGAGGGTTGTGAGGTTTTCTGTGTCTTTCAGCATGGTTAATTGTTCATTAATATCTCCTAACCCTTACTTTTATGGAGATTTGAATGCTCTGTTTCAACAAATGCCTGTTTGTTACTCTTTCATCCAGTCTTGGGTGAGCGTCTGGGGTAGTTAGTTATTTGAAAAATCAGTATAGATCGAGAGAATGCCTGAGAATGAAAATAACATGGTCTTGGTTTCTCCTCTTAAACATTTTTATCAGGTTGATTCAAATAGCACATTAGGCAAAAAGAAAGCTGCCTAAAGGGTTACTGAAACAGCATCACTGTCAGCTTCAGCTGTAAAAACGACCTTAGCAAGGAGTGCCCTTAGCACAGCCAGTGACAGACGGGCCGTGCTGTGTGGTCCTCAGCCCCCCTTCTGTTTGATAGGAGCTGTCTCTGCCTCCACATGTTCACATTCCCCTCGACCCATGCACAGACCAGAGACGGCACTTCAGTTAACCCTGTGTGGCCGGTGTCATACCTGCAGCAAAGGGGCAGCTCTCCTGCATGCATTAGCACAGACAGTAGTGGTATTTTGGTATTTCCCACATATTTTTTTTTAAAGTGTTTTCAGATCATATATATAGTAGTCCGGCAATAAAAACCTAGCTGTAGATGGCTGTTTCTGCCTGAACCTGAAGCTGTCTCCCAAGCCAAGGTGGCTGTGACACGCCAGCCACAGCGTGTTGTGAGTTGAGGTGTTACGTGCCTATCACTTCCCTGAGACTAATGCTGCGTGTCACTAACTACTGCAGCTGTCTCCCACGCTTCTAAGAGCAATTTCCACCCTATTAAGTTCTACCCTTTATGGTGTCCAGGAAGCTAGAAAAAGGCTTCATTTTATCTACAGTTTTAGCAGTTGCCACCAACCTACCCTTGGGTGGGTTATTAAATAAATTAAGGCTATTGAATCAGATTCTGCTAGCAGCTCCTCAGTGTCAAACCTGGACAAATCCCAGATTTACAGCTGAAGTTAATGTTAGTTATGAACTAAAATTTGGTCCCTTCGAGTTTTAGTCCTGTACATTGCAGGTTGTATTAAAGATTCAAAGTTTTCTAGAAGGGCATAGGGCAGATGTCCTATGGGATAACTTCTCCAGAGGATAGTTTGACCTGCTCACTGTGCTCTGAAATTTCCTGCACAGTGAACTGAGGAGTTTCTGCATAAGAAGGATTGCCAACTAAAATTATAGTAGATCTAATTTTTGGTCCATAATTTTGCTCAAAGGGTTGTCTACAGAAGAGTACTACATTTTCTTCCCAGAGCTCCCAGTTTCTTATGAGAAGAGTGACCCGTTTCCTTCATACATCTTAAAGCCCAAAGAGGAGTATTTGGGTAGCAGGGGTTTCAGTAGAAAACCAGGCAGTTTATGCAGATTTTTCTGCATTTCGACATTTTCAGGCTGTTCCAGTCCTGGTTCCCAGGTGAAGGGTATGAAATACCAGGGGCAGGTATCCCCTGGGAGACAGTTGTGTTACAGAGCTTCCCACGTGCTGCAGACATTGGGGAAGATTAGTGCAGTGGCTGACGCTGTTTCTGTGGGTCTGCAGATGGGCTCACTGGGACTGACTCGCATGCATTAATTTATTTGTACAGACTCAGCCAAAATGTCCACAAAATGCTCAGGAAGGGACAGACATGGGGAAGTCACTGATGGGTTGGGGGGGTGCAGCCTGTGCCCACCTCACCCAGAGCGCAGGAATAAGACCTGCACCAAGCACGATGCAGTTTCCCCCTTGAAAAGACTTCAGGCCTTGTTCTAACTTTAGATTTGATAAAGTCCTGTATCTAACAGTGGGTGACCCCACCTCAGCCAGAGCATTTGGATGGTGTTGCTTCCTCTCTACAAAGGGACTGAACTAACACTCCTCTCCCACCCCCAAACCTTCCAGATGTTTAAGTCCTTTTCTTTTTTTTTTTTTTTTATATTATCTTGTAATAAAGGAAAATCAGCTCTGCTGGGTTATGCAGAGTATTAAAAAAAAAAAAAAAAAAAGAAAAGAAAACAAACATCCCCTATCTCACTCTATCCTTTAAGGGACAGAGCCTTCCCTCCAGCACTGATTTCAAAGCCAGTGGTTTATGGTAGTTTCTTGGTCTGCTAGACGTGTTTCCCCTGGGGCCCCAGAAATCCTCTTGATTTCTACCATCAGGGCTGCAGCTGTGTAAGACCCCCCTCCTCCTCTCCAGACCCACCATGTGCTACAGGCTGCCAGATTGCCCTGCCCCTCCATCATGCCCGTATCTCCCCTCTCTCCTGCAGGGTTCTCACACCACGGGCAAGGCAAACAGGCAGGAATACATCCTGCCCACCCACAGCCTTTTAAGAACATATAACTTACAGAAATGGGTCCAACAACTATGGTCCCTAGTGCAGCAAACCACATGGAGCTTGGGTGAGACCAGCCTGGGCTGGAGTGGCACAAAGGTTATCTCAAAGCTCTTTCCATACTGACATAGTATAGGCAGACCCCTGTGCTCAAAGTCATAACTCATTGTAGAAATTTGCCCATAAAATTATCCCTCAAAAAATAAGCTTATTTTTTATTTAATGTCATGTCAAATGAATCGCAGAATGTAGCAGTGAGGATTTAGTACTTGCAGTGCTAACCATATTACTTAGCATTTATACAGTGCTTTCCTCATTCAGGAAAGCACTTTTGCTAACTTAATTCATTCTCAGCCACCCTCTGCATGTCATGAAGGAAGTCAGGAACATTTAATATCCCTGCTGATAGATAAGGCATATGGCTGGGACTGCCACAGCCTCTTCTCCCACCCTCAGCATCCCACCCATGTCAATTTTTTGATGGCTGCAGCCCATACTTGTGACCTGGAAGTCCTCAGCAGTGCAAGGGGCAGGATCCTGTCCCTTTGGTGAGATCCAGCTATGGTCCTGGCCAGGCAGCTAGTGGGAGCAGAACTGAGACTGGTGTCAAGGAAGGAACAGGTCTCAGCAGACAAGAAAGATTGAGAAGGTCTATAGGCTGAGAGCTGGGATGCAGAGGGGAGAATAGGGGTGAAGGGATGCTTGGGCTGGGGAGGTCACTCAGATGGGATGTTGGCCTTAGGCAGGAGAGAATCTGGGACAAAGGCTGGTGGAAGGATTCTGGTACAGAAAGGTTTAGAGGTTGCTTTGAATTATCTTACTTGATGTGGGTATGTAAGGCAGGACATGGTAACAGGGTTGAGGAAGAGGGTGGTAGGTCTGGCATGGGGCTGGGGCACAGGGACCCAGAGTAAGTGTCCCTGGAGGTGAGCAACTCAGGGTGTAAGGGGTAGTGCTGGGAAGGGGCTTCAGCCTGGGGGACCCAGGGGTTGATGTCCATGTCAGGAGACCGGCAGAGCAGGCAGTGGCAGTGTTCCCAGGAAAAGGCTGCCCATCTCCGTATGCCTGCCCGGCCCCTACACACCACCACCGCTCCCTGCTCCCAGCAGGACAGGGCTCTTCCCACCGGCTAACACGTATGCCTTTGCCAGGGGCTGGGGCCAAACAAGGTGCCAGGAGAGAGCACAGAGCCCACGCTGCAGCTCTGTGCCCCTCCAGTCACTGTGCCTGTGGGGTGGATGCCACAGCCCCATTGTTTGCCCACGTCCCAGGAAAAGAGTCCCAAGGACCTGCGTGGGGGTCTCAGAGAATGGTCATGCTGCTGCATTTCATCTGGGCAAGGGGCTGCTCAGCACTAAAGGGAACAAATAAGGACAACTACTCTAGCCTTTTAATCATTTTGGATCCTACTTTTAACATATGTAAGTACACATGTGTGCCAGTTCTCCCCTCACCTTTGATCTGGCATCACTCCTAGTTTCAATTAATTTCTCTGATAGGGACCAGACCCATACATTGCAGTCATTACATGAGCCAAATTAATGCTCGTGTGGATGGCACTTGCTTTTGGAAAGGATAGTAGCTGCACACTGGTGTTGATTAATATGCTGATGAATGAATAAGATACTGATTAGTGCCTGCTACCTCTGCAAACTAATATTTGCAAAACCGTGCAGTTATTGTAGGGGTGGGATGTGCTTTTTCAGAAAAAAAAATAAACTAGTAATATGTTCATTCAGATAGATACTTTTACCATAAGTCAACTGGAGGCTATACTATTTTTATTGAAACTTTCTCTACAGTTACTTTCAAAAAGCTAAAGTTTCTTATTTAGAAGTATTCAACTGCCCTAGAAACTTCTCTTGCTTTAACAGTGAATTAAAATGAATTAACATAGCTTTAAAAATTACTTGATTATAAATTCTTCCTGAAGTACGCCTGCACATATAAATTATTATGTAGAAATTAAAAGCTAGAACAAATATTTTTTAAATTTTGCTCCTTAAAATACATTGATTCTGTTCTACATCTCTGCCCCCAAAATAGCTTCGTGTCCCATTGAAAATCACGTTTTTTCTGGAAAGAAGAACAGAAACCTATCCAAAAAGTTGACCCTAAATTACATTTCACAAAAATGAAATAATTCATTGAGTCCAATATTCTGCACACGGTAGATGCTCACACTTTCAGAATTTCTATGCTGAAACTGTTTGTAAAGTTTTGTTGTAAACCTGAATCTAATACAAGTGAGAGGTTGCTTTAATATTTTAAGGAGCAGTTCTCCTAGCTGCAAAGACATTGAAGACAGCCTGGAATACACAGTCTGTGTGATGCTGCTCTTTATTGTCACAGGTACAGAGTTCTGATGTGGCAAGGTTGCACATTCAGATCATCGAACATTTACCGATCAGGAAGGACTTTTCAGTCTCTAAAATGGTTACAAATGGGTTTTGTTTGAATGCACTCATCATAAGAAGTCTGATCTCAATGGAGTTCTACTATTTTATTTTGGGTAATAATGGCAAAACCTTACCAACTCTTGATGGAGATATCATGGGGTTAATTTATATTCACGTTGGAAAAGCAAAGCAGTGCTCCCTCCCAACTCTGACAGATTCCACGAGTCTTCAGTAGTTGATTGTCAGGTTGTCTCGATCTATAGTTTAGCACTGACAACAACTCACAGTTTATTTGCAGCTTTGAAGCCTGGTCCTATAGTGTTTCTCTTCTGACAGGAGATGAATAAAGGTGTCACTGTGGGAGACTTTTAACCGGCTGCTATAAAAAGGACCATCCTTGCCTTCCCTTGCAAGATCCTCTAGTTCACTTTTGAAGCTTGCGGCTTTCACCTCAGCTGAGTTTAGCTCCATCAGTTCCAATTCATGCTTGGCAGCTGTTTCTAAAACTCTCTGTTTGTTATAATACCTGACAAAGTTGTTAATGATGGGATGAATGGGAAGGGCGATTGCTATCACCCCACAAAGAAAACTGATGGCAGCATTCAGTTTTCCTAGTGTTGTTTTAGGGTATATGTCTCCATATCCAACTGTGGTCATGGTAATGATTGCCCACCAAAATGACTGAGGGATGCTTTTAAATAAAGTTTCGGGGTGACTTTGCTCCATGGTATAACCCAGGGCAGAAAAGACAAAGATTCCAACAGCTAAGTACATGAGGAGCAGCCCGAGCTCCTTAAAGCTGCGTTTCAGGGCATACGTTAGAGTCTGGAGCCCCGAGGAGTGCCGTGCAAGCTTGAAAATCCTCGCGATCCTCATGATGCGCAGTGCCTGGACAGCCTGCTGGACATTGCTCAGCTCCATGAGCTTGGCTCCCAGGTGGGTCAAGGTCAGACTGACATAGAAAGGAAGTATTGCCAGCACATCAACAATGTTCATGAAAGACAGGGCAAAGTGGAGTTTGTTGGGAGAGGAGATAAGCCTCAGCACATACTCCACGGTAAACCAGCCTATGCAGGCTGTCTCTATGCTGTCCAGGGTCGGGTGCTCCATACGGTTCCCCTCCGCATCTATGACCTGCAGGTCAGGGATGGTCCCCACACACATCACAATGGAGGATATCAAAATAAACAGAAAGGACAGAACAGCAATCACTCGAGCTGGGTAGGATGATTCTGGCTTCTCCAGAAATTTCCAGATGTATTTTTGGCACTTTTTCCAGCGACTTTCCGAGGCATCTACTCCCAAGTCATCCAGAATCAGTTGCACCCTTCGGGCTATTTCTTCCAGTTCCTCCTTTTTTTCACTTAGATGAGTTTTGCAGCAGTCATCCAAAAATTTCAGATCCACTTTCCAAAATTCCATTTCATTCTTGAAACATATGGGACATATTCCTTTCTTCATGTGAATTTCCCCAAAGTAATACACATCAATAATGCATTTGAAAGCATCTGGATCTCTGTCAAAGTAAAACTCTCTCTTTACAGGATCATAGTCGTCACAGAGGGAGAATATGCTATCGTATCCCCCCGATAAACAGTTGATCAGCTCTGCCAGCCGTGTTTCTGGGTACTGATTCAGTTTATCTCCATAAAACACCTGCCTTACCCCACCGACATTGACAACAATCTCCGTTTCTTCATTTTTTTCTGATCCGTCAGTGTCCACATCTGGAAACCTAGAGTCACCTGCCATTTTAATTGTAATGGATTTTACTTGATTTTTAGCCTGCTGTTTGGTTTCAAAGCTTTGTGGTTTTAATGTCTCATGAAAGCAAATCAGCACCGAGTCAGCTCTATTGCAAATGTTACCGAACTGACCCGGAGTAGTGGTGGGAAAGGTTACAGAAATAAACCTGCGGTCAGGAAAGCCTCTTGAGGTATGCAACAAGCGGCAGGGAAAAGACAAGTCATCAGGCTGCTGTGCCTGCAAGCAGGATGTTAGAAAGCTCCAGCAGATTTGAAAGAGAAGAAGCCATTTAATAAAACTCACCCCTCTGTTCAGTGCTCGAGAGTCTTTTCAGGTCCCATTCTCTCTCTAAAAGTGATATTTATTCACAGGTTGGAAGTCACGGCCGAGAAATAAATCCTGTGCTCTGATTAATGCAACGTGCAGTGAGTGACAGTTCTCAGAGAGACAATCAGCAGGGTGAGCCCACAGAAAACTGTTGCAGCTTCTCTGTTCGATTCCACAGATTTCCCTAGAAAGCTGCTTTTGAATTTTGTTTCTTTTTCCGTTTTCTTTTTACTTTAAGGTCTTCCAGAGTTTATCTGCTGACTCTTGCACACAGTCAGTCGGTGCAAGCATGCAGAGGAGAAACTTGTGCTTGTTTTCCCTTTGCTGTTTCCCAACACAATAAGGAGCCCAGGCTGCGAGGAGTCCCTTCCAAACTCTACCCTCTTCTGGTGAAACCCAGCAAAGCACCAGCTACACAGAAAACACAGCTCAGCTATTTATACGCCCGCCTCGCTGTAAAATACACATTTCTGTACCAACATGCACTTTAACGATTTTTAAAAACAATTCTTTTAATCAAATACAAAACATAATAGTGTATGAAGTCATTCAGATCTGTAGAAAGACACACAATCGATTTATTCTGATGGCAGAAGCCACAGGAAAAAAATACTGTGTTTTGGAATAAATGCATGACATAAATCTTGCTCTCAGAGGGACTGAAGCAAGTTTAGAGTAATTCTGTCAGGACATTGAGTTACTGTAGATTTGTACTGGTGTCATTGAGAACCAAGCAGAGACCATAAAGTTTTCTCTGCAGCTGTGGAGCAAAACTTTCCCTGCACTCTGCACATGTTTCCCAAATCTCTGTGTCCTCAGTTTTAGCCGTGTTTTCTTGATCTGCAGTCAACTGACCCTGATAAGGGTTTAAGCAATTTACAACTTGGTGAATGCTATTTACCAGCAATAGTGCTTTTGTACTTCACCCAGCACTTAACAAGTAGAAGTGGAATAAAAAGCATTTCCTTTTAACTTTGTTTTCTCCAAATTCCAGGATCTGATGGACATTTGTTCCCTGGACCCTGAAAAGCAGGAAGGGTCTTAAAAACATGCTCTTAAATGTATAAATCTGACTATACAATTCATTTTAGTGGGTCCCAAGGGCTCTGATCTAACAAAACCCACAGTTAAATAGTTAACCATTTCTTGCCACAGCAGAATGATCTACAGCAGGAAGTTTTTACCTTTTCCAATTTACTGGCTTCTGAAAAGCTTCCAAGTGGAGGGGAATAGAGAGGGGCAAATCTGACTGTTTGTTTCCTTAGGCTTGTGTCCATCCTGGGAGCAAGGTGAGAGCTGTCATGTGCCTGTTGTCCTCATGCCTGCGTAACCCAGTGAGGGGGACCCTGGTGAGCAATGCTGTGCTCCATTTCCAATCTCTTGCTGGAAGTTTATGAGGGATTAGTCAGAGGTTGTGCACCAGACTTCATCTTGACATGAAGTATGCACATAGCCTCAAGTACCTTATGAATACCCCTTGGAGGTAGTTCATGACACTTGGCGGAGCACAAGCCATGAGTTAAAATCACTGATACAGCCCCTTCCCAGACCTTCCAATGACCTTCCTTGTTCCTGAGCTCTTGCATGATTGAGAGTGAAAATATGAGAAGGAAGAGGTGAATTCATAATAGAGAAAGACTTGCAAGAAACCTACGAAACAGAGGAATGCAGCCCTTTGTCCGCCACACACATCCATGCACAAATTCATAATGCAAAGACTGAAGCCCAGGGAAGTGGGTTCTTGCTGCTCTGTTGTAGTCACCCAGTAAATGTAACATCCAGTCTCACAGGAAGGAATAAGCTGTGCGTGAACCATGGCTCCATAATCTTCTTCAAATGCCTGGGTTTTGTCACTCATATCTTGCTGCAGAACAGTACAGAGGGCAAGAAACAATAACTGCAGGGGTTGGTCACCTTATTCAAGTGACAGTCTCGGGAAAAGGGTAATATCTATTAGTCTACACCTGAGTCACACTGTTGATCTCTGGAGGCTGGTGTCACCTTCATGTGTTCCTGAGGGTATTGCATAGTGTGGGTGTAATATAAGGTGTCCCTTGAATTTTTTTCCAGGCACATATAAGTTACTTGCAAGCTTCTTGGGACAATAGAGACACCCTGGAGATCTGGAAAAACCCTAGGTTTTGTGGGTTCAGCAATAAATATTTACCTACCTGGGACTTCTTTGCCCACTAACATGAGTAGTTTAGTTTGATTTTAGCACAATAAATTTTAAGATGCTAATAGCAGTGACATGCTTGCATAGGGGAAAATGTGGATAGGATTGACTACCAGTTCTTGCAAAACAAAGCTGAGATCTGGGAAAGTTAGGTTTAAAATGTTGTCAGGATGAACTAGTGTAGGGAAATAGGTTCTTTAGATTTAAGTCCTCAGATTTAACCATCTCAGACACGTACTCTCTTTGATCAATGATTCATTCCAGTGACCTTTTGACTTTTCTCCAGGTAATGATAAGAAATCAATGTACAGTCCAGCACGACCAACACAGAAAGCACCACCTTCATATCCAAAAAGGCTTCTCTCCCCCCCGTAATTTTATAGAACACCTGCAAAATAGGCACACAGGATTAGTACATACATTGTTCAGTTTGAAAGGTGAAATCAGCTCCTCTCAAATGATAAATACCAGCACATTCTCTAAAGGTTGGGAAGAAACTATTTTTGAAATGCCAGATCAGTCCTTATAAAGACTTTACTTAGCGTTGCTGCTAAAATCCTTGTGCTTTATTCTCCCTCGTCTTGCACCTTTTCAGAGTTCTTTACACCTTTCAGTGTGCCTGTCAAATGTTAGAGATCTGGTAGCATTTTAAATCCACTTTGACAAATGTACATGATCCAAAGAAGGGTCAGGAAAAATCAAAATGAATTAAAAACTTGGTTTTGTAAGAGTGAGACGGGCTTACTTGACAAATGTTTTTTATCAGACACATTGCAGAGCAGCAAACAGGAACAAAATGAGTACTATGAGTACTTTGCAGCAAATAATTTATTTCACTAATTTAATTCATTTTTCATCCAGGAAAAGAGGGCTTCTCTAATCTAAAAATTTCAATAGATAATTGTTGCCCTGTAGCTCATTTATGAGTAGTTTTCTGCAATTATTAGGGCTTCTGAATTCAACTTCTGTTGATTTATCTGGACTGGGCAAACAGGTCAAGACGTGCTCTGTGTCTACTGGAAGCGATGCGTGCTGGCAATTGAACTCCTACAGACTGAGTAAGGAACAGAGAGGGGGTTTCTTTCCATGTCGGTGCTTTGGCTCAGAGAACAACACGTGGATTTGAGCTGACAGCTGTGTTTAGTTTTGGATGTGGTTCAGACTGGGTCCTCCAGGGGGGAGGAGGAGGCTCAGCTGGACTCCAAGACGTGCATCCCGAGGGAAGGACTCCCAGGCTCTGGGCACCCACCCATCACGGGCAGCCCCAACCCTGGCCTCAGCAGGGATGCCCTGGATCTCCTTCTGGGAGGCCTTGGACACCATGGGGCTTGGTCCACAAGGCATAGGGGGAGCTCAAATATGTCTCCCCAGTGGCACTTGGCAGCGCATGAGGGATGTGAGTGGCACAGAGCACTCCCAGCCCAGCACCTGGGGACCTGCAGTGACAGCAGCGCTTGGAAGATGCTGGAGCTACAAGTTTGGCTCCCTCATTTGCCACTTTTTCAGGAGAAGACATTCACCACTGGGCAGCTGGGAAGAGAGATTGCTCTTCTTGAGCTGCAGTCTGGCTCATACCGCACTCCCGAAGCCCAGCCAGCACCTCTGCCCTCCGGGGTGATGCACCTGGCTGCTCCTCACGGAGCTATGGGCAGTAGTGGTGAATGAAGGGATGTGAATGGGTTAGGAGCCAACCCGAGGGAGATAAGACTGGACTCTATGTGGAGAGGGGTTTCTAATGCAGAGGCAGGAGTCAGGCAGCCTCTCCGCAAGCAGGCTGTGGTGTAGTCAGCCCCCTGCACTGAGCACAGTCCGGATTTCGGTGCCTGGGACCATGGCGGCACCTTTGGCTTCTCTCTCCTCCTGGACACTATAAAGGGTTTAGTGCTGTGTCTACACATGCAAGCTCAAGAAAGTTTAGGGACTTGACTATGACTTTGCAAGCAAGAAACAGTGAGAGTATGTCTGGCACAGATCCAGCCCACACTGACGAGCGAACACGGACACTTCCCAGCCATCACGTGGCCGTCAGAGACCATCCCCAACAGGCAGTTTGCAGGATGTCATCTCTACTGGAGACTAGAAGGACTTCCTAGGCTAGGTGGAGAGCAGTTTACAGTTGGCCTCAGTGCCCAGAAACATCCCTGGGCACATGTAGAACTGGTCTAGGCCGTACCGAGTTGTTCTGAGTCACCTGCTGCCATCGGGCACCTGTTATTTAGGTATTAAGATTTCTATGTTGGACACTTGTGTGGCCCTTGGAGGCCACAGAATTAACAGCAGGCTTGGAGGGATGGTGTTTCCTACCCAGTATAACCTCCTCATGCACTTCTACTGTGTCATACTTGGGTTTTAAATGACACTTGCAAGACTGCAACTGTGGTGGATCCAGCAAGAAATCTCAGCATCTAACATGCAACTTATTTTCAGCTAGATGCAAACTATGGAGAGCTACTCAAGACAAGAACATGTGATGAAAATATACTATACAAAAGCCAATCAGAGACCTAAAGGAGGGTGGGGAATGGAAATATCTGACTTCTTCTCCTTTCCTCTGGGTATTGTGGAGATAAAGCTTGAAGCCAGCTGCATGGGGACTGCTTCAGCAGCTGGTAGCACAAGGTTCTGTGTGGAGGAAACACCATATAATTACTTTGTGCCAATCATAAGAAAAGGGAGGCAGATAATCTGGAAGAAAGAGAAGCAATGAATGTTGTTGTTGTGGGTTTCAGAAAGAGCTGCTCATCCAGGGCAGAGACTGATTACCACAGCCAGCTTTACTAAGAGGAGCAGGAAAGACTTTGATGTAAGAATCCTTCAGGGTTTCCAAATCTAAGGTGGCTTCTAGTGGTTAGTGAGACAACCTCACAACCCACTAGAAGATCCAACACACTCTCTTTGGCAAATTAATTCAGCTACTGCAATGTCCTGTTTTATCCTTTGTAGATCAATAATACAAATCCATTTTAAAATCATACCTTCTTTTATTCTTACAACTTGCTCTACAATAAAGGCTAGTTTGACACTGCAAGAAAACATGGGATTGAGTCCCCGTGGGCGTTGTGGTTCCCAGCATGGATGTGCAACCACTGCCATAACACCAACACCAACCCCATGCACTTCCCCAGTGCATCTGAAGGGCAACAGTGTGTGACTTGTTCTCATGGCCAGCAATATCAGGGGGTGTGGGGGACAGGTGTGTTGTGGGCACTCTCTGTCAGCAGGAAGCCTT